AAATTGGTACTTTTTTTTTTTTTTCGTTTGGTACTCATTTTCAAAAACTGGTACATTTTTGACGACCCAACTTTATTGTGGATATTTCCAATTAATTTTTTTTATAAATGCAACTTTGCACTATTTTATATTTTATTCATTTATAACACTATAAAAAACACAGAACGAAAAAACAAAAAGGTCCAAAAAAATTTTGGACCTTTTTTTACAGAAATGGTACCTTTTTAAACCAATTTTGGTACAGAAAAAAATTTTCAAGTGGCAACCGTGGTGTGAATATGAGATTATGCTCTTTCTTGCTTATCGTACAGTATAATTTGCAACTCTGGCTCTGGGGTGGTAGACCCATTTAAAAGGTATGTTTTAATAACATTCTTCGTTTGACATATTTTAAATAAACATTAGAAGTACTGAGTAAAATATTAAAATTTGTTTTTGATATTATTGGTGATATATGTCAATATATTTGTAAAGTTTAATATTTCATTGATATAGCAAAAATTCATTAATTTTGTAACAGTGTAAACTGATTTCAACTTGTATATAACCTACTTAAAAACAACAAATCTATATCATTCGTGATCAATTTTACAAAATGAAATGTTAAAAGTATAATGATGGAGTCCAAAGATACTCAATATAAAGTTCTGAGAGATTGTATGGCAAATAATGAAGCATCAATCGAAGATAATATTATTGTGGAACAATTTATAGAAGATGAAGTACTTGAAACAAGCACAAAGCAACTTTTATTACAAAATGATATACTACTCTACTCTGTTATTGAAATGGAAAATGAAACTATAAAAAACGAATCAGAAGCTATTGTTTCTGAGACTGAGGCTACTGGTGTGCTTGTAGGAGACCATACTTCTCATAAAAATAGCGTTATTGCACAACAATTTATACAAAATGAAATATATGATATCTTAACGCTAGAAAATAAGAGCATAAAAATGGAACCGAAAAATACTGTAGTTAATAGAATTATAGATGATCAATCATCATTTGAAAGTGCTGGTTCTGTAAAGGTGATAATAAAGGATAAAGAAACTGAAGCAACCATGGAGCAATTATTAGAAAATAAATCGGTATTAAAGTAAGTGTATACATTATTTATATAATAAATAAATTAATATGTTAATTATATCTTATGGAAATTCTACAGAAATGATAAAAGTATACATAAACCAAAGAGTCATAATGCTTGTGATATTTGTGAGGAAAAATTTTCGTCCTCCAGTTTATTGACAGCTCATCGCAGATCTCATACTGCAGAGAAACCTTATACATGCACTGAAGTAATACATCATAGTTATAATAATTTAAAAATAAATATATAATTTTCAAAAAGTATTTAAAGCTAAAAAAATAAGAATTAATATTATGTACTAATAATATAGTTATAAGTATATCATATTTATTATTTAATTAATAATATAGTTATAAGTATATCATATTTATTATTTATAATTAATAATATACATCTTTTGTAGTGTTATAAAAACTTTACTGCTAAGCAGTCACTATGTAATCATATGAAACAACATACTGGTGAAAAGCCGTACTCATGCACTGAAGTAAATATTGAAAATAATTTTATTTAATATTATAAATAAAATGTTTATATTTGTTATAGTGTGAACAACGTTTCGCCCGTCAGTATACACTCAATGTTCACATGAGGCGACATTTTGGTCAAAAACCCTACAAATGCAGTGAAGTAAATTTTACTTTTACTTAAATATTTCTTATGTATCATTAACTATAAGTATATATCTATACATCTATATATATATACATCTCATTTTCGCAGTGTGATAAAAATTTTGCTGTTAAACAAGAACTCAATCTCCATATGAGGCGACATACTGGTGAAAAACCGTTCACATGTACCGAAGTAAATATTTGAACTATTTTTATTTAAAATTATGTATGTACAATAAGTGTAAACTATTTTTTGTAGTGTGATAAAAATTTTGCTGTTAAACATGAACTCGATGTTCATATGAGACGACATACTGGACAAAAACCCTATAAATGCACTGAAGTAAATATATTAATTATTTTTATTTACGATTATGTATTAAAGCCACATAATTTTTATAGTGTAAACGACATTTCGCTCGTAAATATACACTCGATATTCATATGAAACGGCATACTGGTAAAAAACAACACGTTTGCAATAAATGTGGGAAACAATTTCTACAACGTGTTGATCTTCTTAAGCATAGTAAAACCCATGAATGTGATAAACATGACGTAGAATCCAAAACCAGTAAGGAGTAAGTAAATTTTTTCAGATAGAATAAATTTTATAATAATTTCAATTTGCAGCATTCAACAATATACTAGAATTCATTCATCTGAAAGCAAACGGGAACATAAAGCCCAGGGGCATAAGTTCAAATGTAAAGAATGCAAATCGATGTTTGGAACCGAGGCAGAACTTAAGAATCATTATGACATTGAACATCATATAGGTAAGATCTAGTTAAAAATATAACGTTGAAAAAGTCAATGTAAGAAGTTTTTTATTCTGTTTTGCAAAACTGGATTGCTATTCTTAGTTTAAATTCCTTAATCCTTACATGGTAATTAATTTGTATTGTTTCATTACAAGGTTACAAATTTACTTGTTTTAAATAAAAGATTTTTGTCTATTAATGACTATTAAAATTTCGACAATATATTAATAGCTTTATAATATATTCATCTACACAAAAATGCAATCTATATATATGTTATATACAGTATATAATATATATATAAGCCATCCTGGATGGCTTGTTTTAAATAAAAGATTTTTGTCTATCAATAACTATTAAGATTTCGATAATATATTAATAGCTTTATAATATATTCATCTACACAAAAATGTAATTTATATATATGTTATATACAGTATCATATTTGTATAGGCATACGTGCCATGCCGATATTGTGTTTTGTTCAATAATATATTTTTACATATTGTTTTAAAACCAAAAACGTGCTTGCAAATTGGTTAAGTAATTTGAACCCATAACATTTTTCTTTTTATTAATCAATATAGAATTAAGTAGTAAATAGTTTTCAAATATTTTCAGATTCAAATAAAGATTTGAAATCTCACATATTGGAAACATCTAAAGAGCATGTGGAAATTTATCACAAAACTAACATTACTCAAGAACTAGAAAATAATCGTTTCGAATGGTCACTTTCAAAGATTTACAGAATAGATGATTTCAACGATAATGCAATTGAAAATGTTACTGCAACTGATAACAATGTTTTGCTGAGAGTAAAAACTGAACATACATCGATGAAGGATGAACAAGAATTTATAAAAAATGAAGTAACTGAATTAAACGCAGATATATTATTACCAAACGAAATCCACAATTCGCAAAAAAGTGACACCTTCGAGGATGATATTGGTAAACAACATTTTATAAAAGAAGAAGTATGTGAAACTGTTACAGAAAATTTATCATTTGAAAACGAATTATACACAATTATAACGGTAGAAAACGAGACTATTAAAATGGAACCAGAAACTACCCTTTCTGAGGCATCAACTAATGTTATTATGAATGATCGAACTCTCGAATGGAGGTAAATTGATTAAGATACTATTGTCCGTATTATTCCAAGGGACCAACTCCAAAAAATATGTGTTTAACACATTAATTAATATCTTTGCAAATATTTTGAATTGTGCAATTTAAATATTTTGCATTTTTTAATTGTGCTTATTATTATAATAATCAATAGTTTTTGTCTAATTTTAAAATCGAACTGTGTTCAATTACACAATTACATTAACCGCGCTTATAATTCCGATTTTGCAGCAATGAACATTTTGTATTCATAACCCCCATAGTAAAGACTCGCTAATACATTAAATATTAAATAAATTTTTGCCATTATATCGATGAGTAAAGGGAAATTATTGAACTAATTTAAATAACTGAGTAAAGAATAAGTAAATAATTGATCGTCATTACATATATATTATTAACCTTATATACAGTGGCTCCATCGCATAATCGGACAAGAATTTGTTTGTTATAAATGTGCTCTAAATTTTAAAAAAATATGCTAAAAATATTAGGTGTACTGATGAATGCCGTATAAACCTTATAAACGTATTAATTTATCTGCTTAGTAAATGAAGTGTCAAATTTTCTATGAAAAATAATTTACACAAACTTGATAAATTTATACGAAAATTTTACCGAATACAGAGTTATCAATACAGAGTTATATTTCAACTCAAGCAAGTCATTTACAAAAATATCTTTGTACATACTTTTAGTTTGGACTTTTCGCTCAATTTAGATATATTATTTTATAATTTATTGGTTGCAACACAGCTGATCAATAAAGTTTGCGATACTGAGTATTGCATTTTGTGCTGTCATAATTATTGCTAATATATAAATAAATTGATAAATTTACCCAAATATTTTACTAAGTACGTTCATATAACCTTGTACGTAAACGCATTCAATTATACATTTGATAAATTTATTTTTTTCTTTAATTTACACTTAACATACTTATCTACCTCCAAATTTGAAGTACAAAACAAAGCTTACGCAATCTTTTGCACTCACCGCAGCAATGCGACGAGCATAGGGCTGCAGACGATTTGAAACTAATATTACTACGTTTCGCGTACTTCTGGCTCTGTTGAGTACCATAGTTCAGATAAAACCTCCTTTAGCTGTACTATTGTATTAAATTTTTTTGATATATTCTCCTAATTCCTTCCAAACCATGGTACCATGAGTACCATAGTTCAGATAAAGCCTCGTTTAGCTGTACTATTGTATTACATTTTTTTTGATACATTTTCCTAAATAATTTGGTCCAAAGGTGCTCTGTGAATGTTATTCTCTGAGTTTGGGGCAGTTACGAATCAACCAAAACTGACGTATGCATGGGATCGTTGTCCTAATAAAAGGCAAAATTTTCTGCTAAACCAAATTTCTTTGCATTTTGCTTTATATTCTGTTTCGGAATGTGGAGGTAGCCAAATTTGTCAATTTTATTATCAGTTATACAACCCCAATACATAACAAAGCCTCCTCCATGTTTTACAGTGGCTTTTGTATTGTGATGATTATGTTATTTACGTTATACAAACATCTTACCAGCAGATCCAGGTAGATTAAATTTACTTATCGTCAATGAATAAAACCTTAAAAAAATGAAAATTATCAATGGAAATGTATTTAAGATTATTTACTATCAATTTACCTGATTCTAAAAACTTTTCGTTTTTAGTAAATACTACTTGCCGTATTTTATCGTTTATTTTTATTTTTAATACTCATAAACGGCTTCTTTCTGGCAATTCTCCTGTCATAATCGAATTTATGTGCTGTATTGCTAATAGTATTTAAGCACACATCTCTGCCAGAACGGGTTTTTAATGAAAATTTAGGATGTTTTGCGGTTTGGATCATTTACTCTTTTGCTTTGATCTGCTCTGCTCTTACTGGCCAACATAAACTAATCACGGAACCTCTTGATAATGTCTTGGACAGTAGATTTACTTATTCCAACTATATTAGTAATTTTTCTAATGATTTTACTTTCAAAATTAAATTTATTTATTGATTACCTAATATTGGTGCCATTATTACTGTATTGCGAATGTTCAACATAACTGAAGTTAAAGCCGTTGAAATTGGATTATAGTTCCCGACGGTATCATTGGGATACATGACAACCGAACGATATCTCCTTTAATCTTTCTGTTCAAAATGGCTGCTTTAATAACATTTACGGTGATCTGTTTGATGATTAAATGTGTGCTGTTGTATAATCTAGATGAATTTAAATTACGAAGCAAATTTATCCAATATTCAAACGAAGATTGTGTGATAGAGTTCGTAGTATATCTGGTAAATTTCAAAACTCAGTTGAAATTCTCCTGTTTCGTTTATTATGGCTAACGCCGATATATAAATTGTATAAAATGTTGTCAATATAATTACGAATAGTTGACAAATTTGATTCGGCATGGACGCCGAATCAAATATTTATATTTGTTTCATATCCAGTCAAAATTCCATAATTCGAACTTCTATAACTCGAATTTTCTATAATTCGAACCAAAAACAGTGCACCAAGGTTTTAGAGAGCAAATTACATACAATTCTGCTTCAATAACTCGAACTTCTATATCTCGAACAAAAATTTTGTTCGATGCCGATGGGAATATGGGAAAGTGCATTCTATAAGTCGAATTTTTGTTTTAAGTATAAATTCATTTTACTGTTAGGGGCAATCCCATTTTCCAAACCAAATGTTTAATTTTCTCTTTGTAATGTTGCTTCTATATGCAAATGCCAGTCTCTGGTAGCGTGGTTTAAGGTAAATAAAATAACTTCCAGTGTTTCTCTTAACGATTATATTGAGCTTGACAATGAAATTTGTACATCAAGCTTTCCTTCAGATGACGATATTATTGAGCACTATAGCTCTAAATGACTGGATCCAATTCTAAGCGCAACGGAAAGTAATGATAAGGATTCGGTGGATGTAATTGCTTATCAGCCTTCCTAGAATGAAGTAGAAGACTCTTTCAAAATTCTGAATTTATATTTGCAAACGAAGGATACTACAACTGATAGTGATAAGAGTATGAATAAAATGGAATCTCTTTTTTCTGAAAATAAGAAAAAAATCAAAGTCCCAAACCATAATTTCTTATAATTTTACTTCACTATAAATTCTGAGCTTTATTTGATTGCAAATAAATAAATACATATTTTAAAATGTAATTCTAGTTTCTTTTAAAAATAAAAATAAAATATAAAAAATTCTCTAACTCGAAGTCTTCATAAGTCGAACCTTTTCTTTGCAAAATTGGACTTCGAGTTATGGAAGTTTGGCTGTAATTTTAAAAATCGCACATTCTTTTTTTATTGAATATAGCGGTTCAAAAATGAGTCATGAGAACTTTAAATTAATTGCTGAAAATATTATTGCCTTATTCTGCAACGAATCTGCAAAGCGAAATCAAATACTTAAATCTAAATTGAAATATGTCCGTATGAAGCGCCGAAGAATTATTGCTAAAATAATTAAGGTAATGGTGGCAAATAAAAATGCATACCGGATATTCACTGGAAAACAAAGAAGTTTATGGATGAAAGTGAGACTGTAAAATATTGTATATGAAAATGTTAATATAACCACCAAAATAATATTTTTGTAGGAAAGAAACGGCAAGTTTTGGGAACATGATGTTCTCAATAATAGTCCAAATTTTTTCAAGGAAAGTTTTCATATGAATCGCCAATGCTTCAATATTTTATGCAACGAAATAAGAGGTATTGAACGAAATACCACCAGTTTTAGACAATGCATATCACTGGCGAAGCGAGTCGCCATTGCGCTTTATGCCTTGTGTACCTCAAGAGAATATAGCACTATCGGAAAGCTGTTTGGAGTTTCGAAGGCAAGCGTTTGTGTAATTCTAAAAGAGTTTTGCTCGGAAGTGTGGAGAGTTATGGCTCCACAGTATCTAAGCGCTGACTTCCTTACAGAGGAAAAACTTGAGAAGTGCGTGAAGGGTTTTAAGAAAATAGGTTTTCCTCAGTGCTTTGGAGCCATAGGTTTGCATAACAACTTAATATCCTTCCTTTAAATATTCACAATTAATTTCTGAAAGGCGGATGTCACATTGAAATAAAGCCTACAAAAAAAGATGCTTTGGACTACTTCAATTACAAGGGGTGGTACTCAATGGTACTTTTGGCGCTAGTTGATTGCAGGTAAAATATAAATAGATAGGTATATATATTTTTTTTAACGTTTTTTTCAGGCACCAATTTATGTACATCAATGTTGGAGCACCTGGACGTTGCAACGACTCAAGTGTTTTTGAAAAATCATCTTTAAAAAAATTTTTAGAAAGCCCACTACTTAAAAATAAATCTGAATATATTAGTGGCAAAAGGGTTCCGGTTGTGTGCGTTGCAGATTCTGCGTTCAGGTTTTCAACTTCAATTATGAAACCTTACCCAGTTTCCACTACAAATGAACAATACAAAAATAAATTCAATTACCAACTATTAAGAGCAAGGCGGGTTGTGGAAAAAGCGTTTGATCATTTAAAAGCCAGATTCAGTCGAGTAGGGAAAGGTTTAGATAACAACGTCAACAACGCAGCGTTAATAATAAAATGTTGTTGTGTGCTGCATAACTTCCTTAACGAGCATAATGATTTCATTAATACCAAGTGGCAATATGTTCAAAAGGAATATGAGAGCAAAAACTACAGATTACAACCACAGCATAAAGACTTTTACAATGACAATAATCCCCAAGCGGAAGAATTTAGAAGAGCTATAGCTGATTGTTTTGGTACTTTTTACTTTCTAATATTTATATTATTTGTATGAATTACCAATACTTACAAAAACTATATTATAAATTAGTTAATACATACACAATATTTTAATTATTTACATGCATTCATTTCACTTACAACTAAACTACAAAACATCTCTTTTTTCTATTTCTGAAATAAGACGTTTCATGACATCAATCTTTTCTTTTTCTAAAACCATTGCTCTTTCTCCTTGTTCGAGCAATTGCTTTTCCAGTTCATTTGATTGGTGCAGTTCTTCTATTAAGTCTTTTAACATATCAGTATATATTTTTTTTCTTTTCGTTACAGGTTCCTCAGACGAGTTCGTTGGCGATGATGGAAGGATCTCCTCGTACTCAGGCGTGGAAATCGATCCACTAGCGACATCGGTTAGACACGGCGAATGAAGCTCCTCATTTCGATTCAACATTAATGTATGAACTATAAACATAACGAAGAAAATTAAAAAATTATTCACTGTATTGCAACATACAATTCAGTTTCTCTTATATTTTATAATATATATTAAAAATATTTGTAAATATTATTGAAATATATACTTTACATATATGTTTATTATATGTTTATTGAAACATATACTTTAATTTACACAAGATATTGTAAATCAAACTAGGTAGTTAATATAAATATATTTTCACATCATACCAGCACTCTCTTGAACATTTTTTTCAATGTTGAATCGTTTTCGTCCGCCAAGTATTTCATTGATGTCATTAAAATGCCTCCAGTTTGATGGCACTCCGCCTGATGACTCTATTTTCTTTTTCTCATCTCTAAATTATAATATATATAAAATATGTAATTCATTTATTTAATTCAAATTCAAACTTACTTATATTTGTTGGTAAGATTTTTAATTTTGTGCCTCACCTCCTCCCTACTAAAATGGAAATTGTGTTGGCACATTAAATCCGCTATTTCGGCATATATATGCGAGTTTCTCTTTAATCCTTGGAGTTTCGAAATATTACTCCGCCACAACTCCAATAGGACGCATTCCTCCTCCACCGTCCACGGTGAATGGCGCCTATTTTTTGTATCACTCCTGTCAATATTTAAATAAATATTATATATATAAAGAAAACTCTATAAAAAAAATGAATTAATCAAGTATTATTTCATATAAAACACACGGCCCAATCTCATATGTGAATTTATTAATTTACAATACTTACTCCATCACTACTATTTCCTTCGTAAGTAATGCCGAAAATCAAACAAAATGTCATTTCGACATTTTCGTACCAAAAACTTATCGATAGTGAATCAATTCAGCGCTGTATTCTAGAAAAGGTATTAAATGAAGCGAACTTTCACTGAAAGTCGAACTTTGTTGTGCCTATTTTTGTAAGACAAAGTAAATTTGGTAATTGGTTTTAAGCACAAAGTCGACTTAATCAACAAAGTTCATGATGTGAAAATGGTAGTACATCACGAAAACAGCGCCCCATATCGGATCTGAAAGTATCATGTATATCAAGGAGGAACTAACCATACCCATTCACTAAATTTTAAAGAAATCGGTTGGGCCGTTTCAAATATTAGCACAGACAAACATAGTGATACGAAATTTAATTATTTAAAATCTTTTACAATATTAGATAATAAGAAAATTGTTAACAAACTTTGTTGTAAGATTTATTATCACAAAATTCAAAATAAATCTATTCCGTGTATTCTGCTTATCGTACAACATAAATTGCAACTCTGGCTTTGGGGTGGTAGACCCATTTAAAAGGTATGTTTTAATAACATTCTTCATTTGACATATTTTAAACAAACATTAAAAGGACTGCATAAAAGATTAAAATTTGTTTTTGATATTATTGGTGATATGTGCCAATATATTCGTAAAGTTTAATATTACATTGGCATAACAAAAATCCTTTGATTTTGTAACAGTGTAAACTGATTTCAACTTGTATTTAACCTACTTAAAAACAACAAACCTATATCATTCGTGATCAATTTTACAAAAATGTATGGGTAATTAAAGAGTCATTATTTTTATGAAATCAATTTTGACCTGAAAATTTATAAACTAAATTAATTTTTTTTTATTCATATTTACAGATTTACAAAATGGTCTTATTTTAAAGAATGATTTGACGCTTTTAATCTCTTATACTCTTTACACTAGCATCAGTTTGTCGATAGATGTTGGTATTGAATAACAATGCAGATGCATAAAGTAGTTGAAGCAATTATTGAAAAATGACTAACAAATGAAATGTTAATAATCATTGGTGGTTAAGAAAATAAAACTATAACATGGAGTCCAAAGATACTCAATATAAAGTTCTGAGAGATTTTATGGCAAATAATAAAACATCAATTGAAAATAACATTATTGTAGAACAATTTATAGAAGATGAAGTACTTGAAACAAGCACAAAGCAACTGTTATTACAAAATGATATACTATTCTACTCTGTTATTGAAATGGAAAATGAAACTATAAAAAACGAATCAGAAGCTATTGTTTCTGAGACTGAGGCTACTGGTGTGCTTGTAGGAGACCGTACTTCTCATAAAAATAGCGTTATTGCACAACAATTTATACAAAATGAAATATCTGATATCTTAACGCTAGAAAATAAGAGCATAAAAATGGAACCGAAAAATACTGTAGTTAATAGAATTATAGATGATCAATCATCATTTGAAAGTGCTGGTTCTGTAAAGGTGATAATAAAGGATAAAGAAACTGAAGCAACCATGGAGCAATTATTAGAAAATAAATCGGTATTAAAGTAAGTGTATACATTATTTATATAATAAATAAATTAATATGTTAATTATATCTTATGGAAATCCTACAGAAATGATAAAAGTACACATAAACCAGACAGTCATAATGCTTGTGATATTTGTGAGGAAAAATTTTCGTCCTCCAGTTTATTGACAGCTCATCGCAAATCTCATACTGCAGAGAAACCTTATACATGCACTGAAGTAATACATTATAGTTATAATAATTTAAAAATAAATATAATTATACTTATTCATTAAGTATTTAAAGCTAAAGAAATAAGAATTCAATTAATAATATACATCTTTTGTAGTGCTATAAAAACTTTACTGCTAAGCAGTCACTATGTGATCATATGAAACAACATACTGGTGAAAAGCCGTACTCTTGCACTGAAGTAAATATTGAAAATAGTTTTATTTAAGATTATAAATAATTTATTTATATTTTTTATAGTGTAAACAACGTTTCGCCCGTCAGTATACACTCAATCTTCATATGAGGCGACATTTTGGTCAAAAACCCTACAAATGCAGTGAAGTAAATTTTACTTTTACTTAAATATTTCTTATGTATCATTAACTATAATAAGTACATATCATTTTCGCAGTGTGATAAAAATTTTGCTGTTAAACAAGAACTCGATCTTCATATGAGGCGACATACTGGTGAAAAACCCTTCGCATGTACCGAAGTAAATATTAGAACTTTTTTTATTTAAAATTATGTATGTACAATAAGTGTAAACAATTTTTTGTAGTGTGATAAAAATTTTGTTGTTAAGCATGCACTCAACATTCATATGAGACTTCATACTGGACTAAAACCCTACAAATGCTTGGAAGTAAATTTTAAAATTATATTTCTTTATTGTCGAATATAATTGATATATATATTCATTATAGTGTGATCAAAACTTTGCTGTTAAGCAAAAACTCGATATTCATATGAAGCGACATACTGATGAGAAACTCTTCACATGTACTGAAGTATATATTTCACAGATTTCAATACAAGAATTTGTATAATTAATATATCTTTTAATAGTGTGATAAAAGTTTTGCTGATAAGTATGCACTGAATCGTCATATGAGACAACATACTTCTAAAACTCCATACATTTGCACTGAAGTATTTACTACAATTATTTTCATTAAAATATTACTATATTAAGTATGTAATTTCTAGTGTAATCAAAATTTTACTGCCAAGCAGTCACTTAATTATCATATGTTGCGTCATACTGGGGAAAAACTACACAAGTGCACTGAAGTAAATCAATGCAAATATTTTCATTTAAAGCCAATTATAATAAAACTCTATTTTTTAGTGTAATAAAAGTTTTATTGCGAAGAGAACCCTCAAGCAGCATATGAAACAACATACTGGTGAAAAGCCTTACTCATGTACCGAAGTAAATATTACAATAATTTCCATAAAAGATTATTCGTTAAAAGTATTAATTATTTATAGTGTAAACGAAGTTTCGCTCATAAATATACACAAATTCTTCACATGAGACGACATACTGGTCAAAAACCGTACTCATGTACTGAAGTGAGTTATACAATTACTTCCTTAAGTTTTATTTATAGTAAGAACATATACTTTTAATAGTGTGATAAAAATTTTGCTGTCAAACAAGAACTCGATCATCATATGCGACGACATACTGGTGAAAAACCCTTCAAATGCGTTGAAGTATAGATTTAATTTGTTTAAGATTATATATATATAAAATATATATATTTTTTTTTTAGTGTAATAAAAGTTTTTCTGTTAAGCATGCACTCAATCGTCATATAAAGCAACATACTGGTGAAAAACCATATAAATGTATTGAAGTAAGTTTTACAGTAATTTTTATTAAATATTAAAAATAATTAGTACATGCATTTTTTATAGTGTGATCAAAATTTTGCTGTTAAACAAGAGCTCGATCTTCATATGAGGCGACATACTGGGGAAAAACCCTTTACATGTACTGAAGTAAATATTTTAACTATTTTTATTTAAGATTTTGCATAAAAACCATATAATTTCTAGTGTGAACAGAGTTTCGCTCGCAATTACACACTCAAACTTCATATGAGGCTACATACTGGTGAAAAACCCTACAAATGCACCCAAGTAAATTATGCAATTTTTTCACATTTGATCATATGTAACAATTCCATATATTTTTCGCAGTGTGATAAAAATTTCAGTATTAAGAGTTCACTCAATGTTCATATGCGGCGACACACTGGACAAAAACCCCACAAATGCACTGAAGTAAGTATTACAATTTGCTTCATGCATCATTAACTATACAACTACATATCATTTTCGCAGTGTGATAAAAAATTTACTGTTAAACAAGAACTTGATCTTCATATGAGGCGACATACAGGTGAAAAACCCTTTACATGCACTGAAGTATAAATTTCACATATCTTTATTTAACGGTATATATAATAAGTAAACACATTTTTTTGTAGTGTGATAAAAGTTTTGCTGTTAAACAAGAACTCGATCTTCATATGGTGCGACATACGGGTATAAAACTGTACGCATGTACTGAAGTAAATATTTCATCAGTTTAATTTTATATTATTTGCTCAATATTTATTTGTTTAAAGTGTAATAAAAGTTTTGCTGTTAAGCGTGCACTCAAGCGTCATATGAAAGGACATATTAGTAAAAAGCAACACATTTGCAATAAATGTGGGAAACAATTTCTACGACCTAGTGATCTCCGTAAGCATAGCAAAACTCATTTACATGATAAACATGAAGTAGAATCCAAAATCAGTAAGGAGTAAGTAAATTTTTTCAGATAGAATAAATTTTATAATAATTTCAATTTGCAGTCTTCAACAATATACTAGAATTGATTCATCTGAAAGCAAACGGGAACATAAAGCCCAGGGGCATAAGTTCAAATGTAAAGAATGCAAATCGATGTTTGCAACCGAGGCAGAACTTAGGAATCATTATGACATTGAAAATCATATAGGTAAGATCTAGTTAAAAAATATAACGTTGAAGAAGTCAATGTAAGAAGTTTTTTATTCTGTTTTGTAAAACTGGATTTCTATTTTTAGTTTAAATTCCTTAATCCTTACATGGTGATTAATTTGTATTGTTTTATTACAAGGTTACAAATTTCGACAGATAACAAAAAATTATACCAGGATGGCTTGTTTTAAATAAAAGATTTTTGTCTATCAATAACTATTAAAATTTCGATAATATATTAATAGCTTTATAATATATTCATCTACACAAAAATGCAATCTATATATATGTTATATACAGTATAAAAGATTTTTGTCTATCAATAACTATTAAGATTTCGATAATATATTAATAGCTTTATAATATATTCATCTACACAAAAATGTAATCTATATATATGTTATATACAGTATCATATTTGTATAGGCATTACGTGCCATGCCGATATTGTGTGTTGTTCTATAATATATTTTTACATATTGTTTTAAAACCAAAAACGTGCTTGCAAATTGGTTAAGTAATTTGAACCCATAACATTTTTCTTTTTATTAATCAATATAGAATTAAGTAGTAAATAGTTTTCAAATATTTTCAGATTCAAATAAAGATTTGAAATCTCACATATTGAAAACATCTAAAGAGCATGTGGAAATTTATCACAAAACTAACATTGCTCAAGAACTAGAAAATAATCGTTTCAAATGGTCACTTTCAAAGATTTACAGAATAGATGATTTCAACGATAATGCAATTGAAAATGTTACTGCAACTGATAACAATGTTTTGCTGAGAGTAAAAACTGAAGAACATACATCGATGGAAGATAGTAATATTGAACAAGAATTTATAAAAAATGAAGTAACCGATGAAGTAAACGCAGATATATTATTACCAAACGAAATCCACAATTCGCAAAAAAGTGACACCTTCGAGGATGATATTGGTAAACAACATTTTATAAAAGAAGAAGTATGTGAAACTGTTACAGAAAATTTATCATTTGAAAACGAACTGTACACAGTTATAACGGTAGAAAACGAGACTATTAAAACGGAACCAGAAACTACCCTTTCTGAGGCATCAACTGATGTTATTATGAACAATCGAGCATCGTTCGAAGTTAACGTTCCTATGCAAAACTCTGTAAAACAGAATGAAAATGAATCAGCTACAAAGCAATCATTGCAAGAAAATGAATCAAAATCGAAGTAAGTTTATAAATTAATTATAAAAAAAATATATAACATAATAAATATTTAATTTTTTTTAACTTCTGTATCATTCCTAAAAGTATGCATCTAAAGGAACACAATTTTGCTTGGGACTTTTGTAAAAAGGAATTTGCAAATTTGAGCTTTTTGAACAAACATCGTCGTTCTCACTCTGGTGAAAAACCATACACATGTACTGAAGTAAATATTTAAATTATTTATATTTAACATTATATTTAACAAATATATATTGTTTATAGTGTGGTAATAGTTTTGCTGGGAAGAAGTCACTCAAGCGTCATATGAGTCAACATACTGGTGAAAAGCCATATGCCTGCTCCGAAGTAAATATTGCAATCATTTTAATTTTCATTAATTTGACAAATATTGTATATATTTTTATAGTGTAATAAAAGGTTTGCTATCAAGGAGTCACTCAATCTTCATGTGAAACGACATACTGGTGAAAAACCTTACAAATGCACCGAAGTAAATATTACAATTATTTTAAATTAATATTCAACATAACTTTATACATTTTTTGTAGTGTGATCAATGCTTTACTATTAAAGAATCGCTCAAGCGTCATATGAGACGACATACTGGTGAAAAACCATACACCTGTACTGAAGTAAATATTGCAATCAGTTTTATTAAAACTTAATTTGATAAATATTGTGTATTTTTTATAGTGTAATGAAAGTTTTGCTATTAAGGTGTCACTTAATTTTCATATGATGCGACATACTGGCGAAAAACCCTACAAATGCTCTGAAGTAAATGTTGCTTTTATTTTCTCTTGATTAGTTTCTTATTTGTTTTATTTTTAATAGTGTAATCAAAGTTTTACTGTTAAGGAGTCACTAAAGCGTCATATGAAGCGCCATAGTAGTGCTAAACCCTACACATGCACTGAAGTAAATATTGCAATTACTTTGTTATAAGATTAAGTGTAATAAGTATGTATGTATATATTTTGCAGTGTAACAAAGGGTTTGCTGCCAAAGGGGAACTCAAACTCCATATGAAACGACATACTGGGAAAAGGCCATACACATGTACCGAAGTAAATATTATTATATTCTCGTTTAACAATATTTAATAAGTATTAGTTTTTTATAGTGTGATCATAGTTTTGCTGTAAAGCAAGCACTTAAACGTCATATGATTCGACATACTGGTGAAAAAGCGTACACATGCACTGAAGTAAATTTTGTTATTTTTTTTTGTTTGTAATATAAAAAATAAGTAATTGTTTTTATAGTGCAATCAAAGTTTTACTGTTAAGGAGTCACTTAATCTTCATATGAAACGACATACTGGTGAAAAACCACACGCTTGCACTGAATGTGGAAAAAGTTTTCTACGAGCTATTGAGTTACTTTACCATAGTAAAACTCATGTACGTCCATTTGGTTGTAACCAGTGTGAACTAAAATTCAAAACTTTTAAGCAGTAAATAATAACATAATTTATGTCAGAAATATCGTACTTATTATTTAGTGACTTAATTTTACAGATTAGAGCAGCATACTAAAATTCATTTGTTAAAGCGTAAGCATGAAAATGAAGCCCAAGAGCTTAAATTCCAATGCAAAGAATGCAATGTAATATATAAGACACAACATGAATTTAAAACCCATTATGAGTCCGGACTTCATATAGGTGAGATATTAATAATGTACATATATTAAAATTCACTTTTGTAACAACAAAATAATAATAAAATGTACATACTTATTGTTTATTACGGCCGGAATGATGTTTTCAAGATAAAGTTTAAAGAGAAAATTACCAATAATTTATATTAAGAATTTGGCATAGAATTAGAAGATAATTATAACATAAATGCATTGCTGGTGTCTGTACTACTCTAATGAAGATAAAAATTAGACTTATTTAATATCCAATACAGAATCAAAGACTTTTACATCAAGTACCTTGTTGTGTCTTAGTTATAATATTGTTGTCAAACCTTTGTTATAAATAAATACATTTTAAATAAATAAATACATTATAAATAAATAAATACATTAATAATAAATAAATAAATATATTTCAGTTATGTACAACAATAGCAGCCTTAAACATGGGGAAGAAGGAAGACAAACAGACTGCATAGTATGTTATAAAAAGTTTGATTCAGTGAAAGCTTTGAACTCTCACATACTTGACATACATAAAGAGCATACGGAAATTCAATACAATGCTAACAGTGCCCAAGCGTTAGAGGTAATTGGTTCCAAATCGTTATTAAGAAAACTTAACAAAATTAATGATTCAAAGGAGAAATCAATTGAAAATGTTGTTACTTCAGTTGGTAATAAGAGCATGTTACGAATAAAATCTCAACAACAAACATTTACTAAAACAACCACGGAAAAATTATTATTAGATAATGAAGTGTACACTAAATTACAAAATGAAAATGTAAAGATGGAGCCTAAAACTGGTGATGATCCAATATCTTTCCAAGATTAAATTATTGTTGAACAATTTAGAAAAAATGATGTACCTGAATTAAGCACACAGCAATTATTACAAAACGAAAAGTTTTTTACACTAATCTAAAAGCGAATCTAAAAATGAAACCGCATTCTACTACTGTTAATAAAACTCTGCTTCATGCCATTACAGATGATTACATTTCAAAAAAAATGAAGTACTTGAAATATTCACATATAAATTATTATTCAAAAATGGAATTTAGAATGATATTACCATAGAAAAGAGAAAAATAAAAATGGAACCAAAAACAGCTATTTCTTACGACTTTTCAAAAGTCCGAATCAGAGAAATAAATGTATAACTTTTTTTTACATAATATAGTTTCAGCATTTTCTACAAATTTATATATTTATTTAGAAATATTTTTTTAGTGCTTTCAGTATAAAACGATATGCTCATATAATGTTAGCATAAATTTACAAGACATAAAAAACATGTAGTTCATTATGGTGTAATAAAAAAATGAACCTTTATATTATATATTACTTTAATTTATAACTTTTTTATGTAGTTATTAAAACAATAGTTTTTATTGCACACTTAAAAAAATTTTTTCCAATTATATTGTTTATAAACATTCGTTATGTACTGTAAAAAGTACGCCATAACACGATAGCGTGCTGTTGTTTTTTTTTATTCTGTGAACTTAAATACAAGTTTATTTAATATATTCCCATATTATCTATTCGTTAATAGTAAAACTAAAACCACTAGTTCAATATCCAAAATTTTATTTCAATCTATTAATTCATTCTTAGTTAGAAATCATTTGAAGTATCGGTACATTTTTTTTGTAAAGTTCGTAAATATAGAATAAAATTCAATACATTGTCAAAAAAATAAATTCTCTTTAGCAATATCTCTTCGCTATGCCCAATGTGATTAAAGTCTTCGTTCATTCAAAAGTATTCTTGAGTTTTGTTATTTGCTTTTAATTTGAAATAATAACAAAAGTTGTATATATCTTCAGGAATTGTGCTTAAAAATATTTATTAAAAAATTATTTTAGTGATTTTAAATCGTTTACCGGCTTTTCACTTGGAGTCATTAAATCTTTGACTGAAGATTTTTAGAGCATTATTAACCGTTATCCAAACATTTAAAAAATTATTGACAACATAAGTCAGCAGGAAATCAGCATTAGGCATCGTGAAATTAAAACTATTTCAAAATTTTATAATTTTTATTCATGTTTATAAAAATCAGTTCAAAAAAATTAAACTAAAGTTTATAGCGGCATAATTGTGAAAACTATATTTAGTGAAGAGTAACAGCTGTCGTTTATACTAAATGTAATTTAGTGCAGTCTTAAATTAAAAAATTACGAATTACGAAAAGTTTTCATTTAGACTAAATGGTATTTGTTTTCCAACTTTTAAAAAGAAAAGCGTTTATGATGCAAAACATATATAATATGATGCAAAAAACATTTAAGGATCAATAGATCTGTTCCACGGGTTACTCGTAATAACTTTGAGTAACACTGTGTATACACAAGTGCGCTCCACCAGTAAATTTTCGATTAATTCAGAGCATCTGAGAGAACATAACATCCCTGTCGAAATTTGAATTTGCTACTCGTACATTTTTTTTCAAGTAAAATATGTGGTGATGTGTGAATCTGCTATTTTGGTTTAAATTTAAATATTTGTATTGTTTATTTGCGCGGCACTGTTGTTCACAGCAGATTTTACACTAGGCTGTTCCATGAAAATCTGTTTAAAGAGCAAAATTTGGCACTTTATTTGTTGTTACGCTCTGTTTGTACTTGGCGTGTTTTATTTGGGTTTTACTACGAGTAACATCGTGGAACAGATCTAATATAAATATTTATATAAAAAAAAACTTAATACCTTTCAAGTAAACATGCAACATTAATTGCAACTCTGGTGTTGTTGCCTTTTTTGACACATTTTAAATCCAAATAATTTTTATGTAGAAAAGTTGTAATAATAATAATAATACGTTACCAGTAAAATAAAAATAGCTTACGTTATAAGAAACTGGTGTTAGTGAAGAACTATGTATGATAGTTAACGTATATAAGCAACCAGAGGGAAATTATTCTTAGAAAACTGAATGTGCGATTCTATGAAAGATGAAAATATAACGATGGTGTCGAAAACTACTGTTCTCAAAAGTTTGGGTGATGCCATTATAAACGATCAGATATTTGTCAAAGATAGCACACAAGAAAATGTAACACAATATATAAAAGATGAAATACCTGAAACAACTACAGCGAAGTTTTTAATAGAAAACACTTTTATTACGATAGAAAATTATACCATAAAAAGAGAGCCAGAAACTGTTGTTACTCAAACATTAGGCAATGGGTCTATACCTGATTCATCACGAATTGAAAGTGACGGTGTAGTACAAATCACAATAAAAGATAAAGTAATTGAGCCAGTTTTAAAGTTAGTATATAAATTTATTATAATATTCAAATGATTTATTTTGAAATTTCTGCAGAAAGCATAAAGTGGAAAGATGTCTTGCTTGTGACATTTGTGGAAAAAAATTTTTGTCATTGGGTCCTTTAAAAGTTCATCTCCGCTCTCATACTGGGGAAAAACCCTACACTTGTACGGAAGTAACTATTGCAATTATTTTCATATAAAAGATATTTGCATCTAATAGGTTTTTCTATATTATAGTGTAATCAGAATTTCTTCGTTAAGAGCTCACTTACACTTCATATGAGGCGACATACCGGAGAGAAACCCTACACATGCAAGGAAGTAAATATGCCATTTATTTTTATAAAAAAATATACATATATCAATATTTGCAATTTTTGTAGTGTGATCAGAGTTTTTCTATTAAGAGCTCACTAAAACGTCATATGATCAGGCATACTGGTGAAAAACTCTACGCATGCACTGAAGTATATATTGTAATTTTTTTGATATTAATATTTATATAACACTTAATTTTTATAGTGTGATCAAAGCTTCTCTATTAAAAATTCACTTAATCTTCACATGAGGCGACATACTGGTGAAAAACCTTATAAATGCACTGAAGTATATATTTAAATTTAAATTATTCTCATTTTAAAGAAAATATGATAAATATACAATTTTAATAGTGTGAACAATGCTTTACTCGTAAAGAAGGACTCGATATTCATATGAAGCGACATACTGGTGAAAAACCCTACAAATGCACCGAAGTATATATATATTAAATATTTTTATTAAGACTAAATTTAAGTGTTCTTTTTTATAGTGCAATAAAAGTTTTGCCGTCAAGCAGGCACTCAAACACCATTCAAGACAACATACAGGTGAAAAGCCCTATAAATGTGATGAAGTAAGTATTGTAAGTATATTTTCTATAAAAGTTAAATAAAATTTTTGAATTAATAGTGTGATAAAACTTTTGCTGTTAAGCAAGGACTAAATCTTCATATGCAGCAACATACTGGAGGAAAACATTTTACATGCACCGAAGTAAATATTTTAATTACTTTTTAAAATTATGTATATATATATTAAGTTTATATACTTTTGAAGTGCAAACAACATTTTGCGCGTAAGCATGCACTCAATCTTCATATGAAACGGCATACTGGTGAAAAGCCACACGTTTGCAATGAATGTGGAAAATGTTTTCTACGCGCTATTGAGTTACGTTACCATAGTAAAACTCATATACGTCCATTTGGCTGCGATCAATGTGAGGAAAAATTCAAAACCTTCAAACAGTAAATATCAGTTTCATTTGCATCATATCATGATTTGTATCTATTCTAATTTTTTGATTATATAGATTAGAGCAGCATATCAAAATTCATTCTGCAATACGCAAACGTAAATATAGAGTTCAAAAACAAAAATTCAAATGCAAAGAATGCAATGCGATGTATGAGACAAAGGAAGGACTTAAAAATCATTATGAAATCGGAGTTCATATAGGTAAGATATTTTTAACATATATAATATTTTTGTATATTGAAGTTTAAATGTAAGAAATTAGTAATTCTTAATTTTAAAACTAATATATTAGCTTTTTTTGCTTACTAATATCTATGATAGAAATGATGTACTTCGGGTTATAAATTTCCAATGAAAATTACCAAAAATTTATAGAATCTTTATTTTAAAATACATTTTGCATAAGATCATAACAAATCTATTGTACTAATTTACGGTTACGGTCTAAATTCTAACTATTAAATCGATAAGTACAAAAACAAACTATAGTATTTTGAAATTGAATATTTTTATTAACAGATTAATTATTTTATACACATAAAAACTCTTTGATTGCGTTTATTTTATTGTATACATTATTGTCACCATACAGGCTTTGAACAACGTAATTTTATTTGATTCCATATTTTTACTTATTGTTTTTAAAAGTAAGGAATAATGTTGCATAGTCTTCCACCCACAACTTATTTCTCATTACTGACCATTATGTACGTAAATACGTTTTAAATATTAATTCGTAAAGCATAAAGCATAAGAAATATTTTTCAATGTCTAGTACACATTTTTATATATATTTCAGATAAATATACTAGCAGAAACCTTAAAGGAGTTATTAATCAATGTTCAATAAATAAAGTATTTGAAGCAACCGCGGAGAAATTATTATTGGAAAATGAAGTATTTATTAAATTAGAAAATGAAAGTATAAAGATGGGGACGACAGCTAATGATGATCAGTCATTCGAAAATGAAGTTATTGTGAAAAAATTTAAAAAAGATAAAGTACGCAAAATAAGCACAGAGCAATTGTTATCAGAAAACGAAGCTGTTATAACTCTAGAAAATAAGACCATGAAAACGGAACCAGACGCTACTGTTATTGAGGCTTTACCTAGTACAATTATAGACGATCAAATTTCTTTCGAAGATGTCGTTGCTATAAAAGAATTAATAGAAGAGGAACGTATGGAAACAACCACAAAGGAATTATCACAATATAATGAATTGGATTCGTAGTATGTTTATAAATTAATTATAATTTTTATAGAAAATACAATAAATGTTTATATTTGTTTAATTTTTTAATATGCTTAAAGTATGCATTTGGAGGAGCGTTATTTTGCTTGTGACTTTTGTGAAAAGAAATTACCCAAATTGAGTGTACTGAAAAAGCATCGTCGTTCTCATACCGGCGAAAAGCCATATAACTGCCTTGAAGTGAACATTTTATATATTATTTAAAATTAAATATAATAAGTGTATATTATTTGTAGTGCAATAAATGTTTTTCTGTTAAGGAGTCACTTAATCGTCATATGAGGCAACACACTGGTAAAAAACCTTTCACATGTACTAAAGTAAATATTTAAATTATTTTTTTTTTTGAGAATAAAAATATTGAATCAATAATTTTGATAGTGCAAACAATGTTTTACTCGTAAGGAAGGCCTCGAGATTCATATGAGACGGCATACTGGAGAAAAACCATATTCATGCACTGAGGTAAATAACGCTAGTATTTTTATTTGATATTAAATATAAAAAGTATATTTATTTTTTAGTGTACTAATAGTTTTGCTGTTAAGCAGGCACTTAAACGTCATATGAGGCAACATACTGGTGAAAAGCCCTATAAATGTACCGAAGTAAATATCGCAATTTTTTCCTTAAATATTTAATATAACAAATATATTCATTGACAGTGTTATCAGAGTTTTCCTCTTAAGGAGACACTTAATCTTCACATAAAGCGACATACTGGTGAAAAACCTTTCAAATGCACTGAAGTATATTTAGTAATTATTTTCAATAGAGTTTAAAATAATAACCTTATTCATTTACAGTGTAATCAAAGTTTTTCTGTTAAGGAGACACTCCATCGTCATTTAAAACGACATACAGGGGAAAAATCCCACATATGTACAGAAGTAAATCTTGCATTTAGTTTTATTTAATATTTTATATAAATCGTATATTTCGTATAGTGTAATAAAAGATTTGCTGTTAAGAAGGAACTTAATTTACATTTAAGGCGACATACTGGCGAGAAACCATACAAGTGTACTAAAGTGAGTATTGCAATTAGTTGCAATTATTTTATTAATTATTAAATAATTTGTAGTGTAATCAAAGTTTCACGGCTAAGCGTTCACTCTACAATCACATGGCGCGGCACACTGGTGAAAAACCTTTCACATGCACTGAAGTATGTGTTTCGAAAATTCTATTTAAAATTCAATAAAGTATGTGTTTTTTTATAGTGTAATAAAAGTTTTTCTATAAAAAGTTCACTTAATCTCCACATGAAGCGGCATACTGGTGAAAAACAACATGTTTGCAATGAATGTGGGAAACAATTTCTACGCGCTTTTGAATTACGTTATCATAGTAAAATTCATATTTGTCTATTTACCTGTGATCAGTGTGAAACAAAATTCAAAACTAATAAGGAGTAAATAATTCTATTTATAAAGAATAAATAATAATAGCTTAAATTTACAGACTTGAAGAACATGTCAGAATACATTCATCTCAAAACAGACGAGAAAATGAATGTCAGGAACATAAATTCAAGTGCAAAGAATGCAATGCGACCTATGCGACAAAGGAAGAACTTAAAAATCATTATGGAATAAGAGTTCATATGGGTAAGAGATTTTTAACATATATAATAGAGAGTCAAATCCCTCTATAGCGAACCTCCTTATAGCGAATTTCTCTCTATAAAGAAGTTTTTTCAAGTACGCAAACAAATTTTTGCATACAAAAAAAACACCTCTCTATAACGAATTTATTCAAATGCAAGTTAAAAACTGAACACGTTTTTATTTATAAGAAACTTCTTTGCATGGGTATGTTATTCAGTTTATAATTGGGCTCATATTTGTCGCGAATTGTATGGTGAAGGGGGCGAAAGAACATCATATGCACATGCTGGAAGTAAAAATTTTAAATGGGAGTGATGACCAAAACATGTTTTTGTGCTCTCGCTTTTAATACCAGAGGTATCGAATTTTTAGAGAGGTTTAAAAATTTTTGAGTCTATTAACTTGTTGGAAGAGTTTCTTAACAAGGAATCAGTAAAAATAAATAAATAATATATAATAATAAATTAAATAGTAATTAATAAAAACAATTTTTTTAAATACAAACGAATTTACCATAGTAAATGTTTTTGATGTTATGTATGTTTATATGAATAAACATGAAATACATATACAGTCAAACTTCCAAAACTCGAACTTCTATAACTCGAACAAAAATTTTGTTCCGTGCCGATAGGAATATGGGAAAGTGCATTCTATAAGTCGAATTTTTGTTTTAAGTATACATTAATGCATTTGTCTGTTAAGGGAAGTCCCTTTTTCCAAACCAAATGTTTAATTTGTTTTCTTGTTGATTCTTTGTGCAAATTTCAGTCGCTGGTAGCGAGGTTTAAAGTAAATAATATAACTTTCAATGCTTCTCTTAATGATTATATTGAACTTGATAATGAAATTTATAGATCAACCTTTCGTGCCTCAGAACACAAGTAGCCAAGACTGCACACACTTTCAAGGCTCATATTACAGATTTTTTTGTCATTTTTTATTTTTTATAAGTGACACTAATCACTTTATAAACTTACTTAAAGTAAATAAATATAAACATGTAATAGTTTATATTTATATGGGGCGCTTACAAAGTACAAATAAACTCGGGAAGAAAATTATAATAATAATTTTAGAAGTGTTTATTTTGAAACCACATTTCGTATTAGAGCACGACAAATGAATTTTCTGTTATTAGAATCTGACATTCAATATTAAATTTAACTATAAAATCGATCATTTAAAAAAAAACATTTGGAAATCAAATATTTTTATTAATTGAATAATTCTTTTATCCACATCAAAACTTATCATTGAACATTGTTTTTGAAAGTATAAATTGGTAAAAACATTTGTATCCAAAACATATTTCTTATTACTAACTTATTACTTACTTATTACTAAATAATGTAGTAAATAATTTTTATATATTTGTATGTAATATAGCAAAAGAAGTTATTTAAAATCAAGTATTAATTTTTTATATTAATTTTAGATAAATATCCTAACAGCAGCCTTAAAGAAGCAATCACGGAGAAAATATTACCAGAAAATGAAGTGTGCAATTCATTAGAAAATAAAAGTTTAAAGGCGGAGCGTTTAATCGAAGATGAAGTTGTTGGAGAACAATTTATAAAAAATGAATTACCTGAAAGAAGTACAGAGGAATTGTTATTAGAAAACGAAGTATATACTATTATAATGTTAGGAAATGAGAGTATAAGAATGAGACCTGACCACATTCCGTTTAAAGATGACGTTACTATACAACAACTTATAAAAGAAGAAGCAATTGAAACAAGTACAAACCAATTATTATTAGAAAATGAAGAGAACTCTTGACATGAAAAAATCAATCTGAAAATCGAACCAAATTTTACTATTCGTGAACCTCCGCTTGATGGTATCACTGATGATCAATAATTTATAGAAACTGAATTATTTGAAACAAGTATAGAGCAATTGTTATTAGAAAATGAAATTTACCGATGTGACAATAGAAAATGAAAATGTAATTGTTGTTATTATAGATGCTGTCAATGAATCTGAATTTAAATGATAAGAACAAACTCAAATATATCTGCATGTTTTATCTAATGTTTTGGAAACTAATTTCAAATTTTTACTTATTTAAATTTTAGCTTGAAAGATGTTTTTTGGGTTATATTAAGCAAGGACAAAACTACTTATATTAAATGTGTACTGGTGTAGTCCTATGTGTATATTTATTTTAGTAAACAAAATATTCTTTATTTTTATACATTTTTGAAAATTTGATGAAAAAATAAATTGTAAATAATTTGTTGATTCGTTGACATGATTTAAATAAATTTTTAAAAATTAAATATTACATATTACTTTTATCAATAGACTAAAATTTTATTTAAAGACAAAAGAATTAACTCCTTGTAAATTTAAAAATATGACAATGTACTGTACAAAAATAACATACTGCCGGGAAAGGAGTAGTGAAATTGAGTATTTTTTGCGTTGACCTAATTGTGTTTACGTTAGCGTATCTAATTCCTTTCTTATAAATTGATAAGTTTGTTATTTTAGATTATGCGTTAGCAGTTAGATTTATAATTTAAATGAAAACATGCAAAAGCTATCAACACAAAATAACAAGAAAATACATAAAAACCTAAAAAAAAAAAAACAAAAGTTGTGAGTTGTGTAAGTTCCTATAAAATCATAAAATAGTAACACTTAGCAGGTTATCAAAATTTGCGTATAATCCACATTGCGTCTCACAAGTAGATGGACCGGATTCAGACCAATTTGTATCAGTCGCATATTAGGTAAAAACTAAAGAGCCCTTGCCAATTGTTATTGCCGGAATCATCTGTATCAGACTGATGGCCACATCGTTGCATACTTTAAGCGATTGTAAACAAATCGCTTAAAAACAAATATTGCTTAAAAACTCAACAACAATATTTTTTATGCGACATGTTTCTTACCATGAGCAAATATTGCTCTTTGTCAGCAGTTCTTAAATTATTTAATAGTTGCAGTCAGTGCACAAACTTTTTTTACATATTGTGAATGTGAGAGTGTAGAACTACAGAAAATAATTTGTTTTATACACAATTTTAAAAAAATATAAAAGGAAATAGTCCGCATGAGAGCTTCAAAAATTTAAACTAATCAAGTAAGCATATCCTTTATTTTGTGAAACTATAACTATGTTGATGTCTCGGTAAAGCTCATAGATCATAGGACCATAGTTTTTCTGAAGGATTTTTATCTAGTTCTTGCTGCTCCTGATGCCGTCTCGTCACTGTTGATTACTGTTCAAATTTCGGCACAACACAGCACGAAAGATAGAATAATACTCTTGTAGTGCATGATTTTTATTTGACGATAAATGGCTTTGTTTCTCAATTGCGTACATAATCCGAATAAAATCTTTTGACAACATTTTTATTGCTTACGCTTTTTTCAAATAAGAAAGCCTTTCATAACTTCTTATAACTAACGTAATGATTTATTTGTTGATTTATTTGGTGTTTGTTTTGTTCTCGTTTAGATGCAAATTCCAATATCTTTGCTTGTTTTTTTAAAAAATATTAACTATATCTTTTCCATTTTCAACTTCGAAAAAAATTTAATGATGTTCCCGTAGAGACACTTGGCCAAAGAAGAGTGGTCTCTGAATAGGAGAAGGGTCAACTATATACATTGAGGGTTCTAAAAGAAGTAGCAGTGTATGGAAAATAATTTTCTCGGAGAGATTCAAATTCTATAAATTATGGTGAAAACACGCTTCCCGTTCACAAGGAATGTAGTTGATAATTACAAGTTACTTAATTAAAGCATCCGTGTAAATACAAATTATTGTGAAGCATAAATTGCAACTCTGGTATTGTTTACTGTTTTTGAATTGTTTTTTTTGGTACTGCCTTCCATTGCACATTTGAAAAACAATCAATGTGGAAGAATGGTAATAATAACATTGTCAGTAAAATATAAACAAAATAAAAACGTTGATTAAAGCTGAAAATTATAAGTAAACGGAGATGTGCGCTGCTCTAAAAGATGAAAGCAAAATTGTGGATGCGAAAACCTTTGTTTCTGCAAATCTGGATGTTGCTATTATGAATAAGGACTTATTAATGAAAGATGGTCTTATTGTAACACAATTTATAAAAGATGAAATATTTGAAACAAGCACAGATAATTTATTGTCCCAAAATGGAGAGTTCATTTTTAATATGCCAGAAAATCATGCTGTTAAAATTGAACCAGAGACAATTGGTATTATAGCCGATCAATCATTGTTCGAAAGCGACACTGCAGTAAAAATAACAATCAAAAATAAAAGTAAACCACCTACACAGCAATTATTAAGAAATAAACCACCTTTGAAGTTAGTTTATCAGTTTGTTATGCTATATTAATAAATACAATAATACCTGCTTAAATAATTTTTGCAGGCGGCTTAAAAGAGAAAGATGTCTTAATTGTGATATTTGTGGTAAAAAATTTTCCTCATTGGGTTCGTTGAAAGGCCATCTTCGCTCGCACACTGGTGAAAAACCTTTCACTTGCACAAAAGTAAATATTGCAATTGTATTCATTTAATAAAACACATAAATAAATATACTTATATATTTAATAGTGCAATCAGAATTTCCGTAGTAATGGTTCTCTTAAACGTCATATGACAAGACATACTGGTGAAAAACTCTACGCATGCACTAAAGTATATAATGCATTTATTTTTATTAAAAATTCAAATTTAAAATACATATATTTATAATAGTGTAAACAATGTTTTGCGCGTAAAGAAGGTCTTGAGTGTCATGTCAGACGACATACTGGTGAAAAACCCTATAAATGTATTACTGTAAATATTTCATTTATTTTTATACGCGATTTAGTATAAATACATATATACTTACAGTGTAATAAAGGCTTCGCTGTGAAGACACAACTCAATTTTCATATGAAACAACACACTGGTGAAAAACCTTTTACATGCGTCAAAGTATGTACTCATATTAAATTACTTTCATATACGATTAAATTAAAAATAATACAATTGTTACAGTGTAAAAAAATCTTTACTTCCAACAAAAGACTCGATAATCATATGAAGCGGCATACTGATGAAAAACTCTACCAATGCCTTGAAGTAAATAATAAAATTATCTTAATTAGGTATTAGATAAATTAAGAATTTAATTTTTACAGTGTAATGAAAGTTTTTCCACTCAGAACTCTTTCAATCTTCATATGTGGCAACATACTGGTGAAAACCCATACAAATGTACTGAAGTAAATAAAATCCTTATATTTATTTTAAACTAAATATAATAAATACATAATTTTATTAGTGTAAACGATGTTTTCGGCGCAAAGATGGGCTCGATATTCATATGAGAACACATACCGGTGAAAAGCTCTACACATGCACTGAAGTATATAATCTTATTTTAGTTATTTTGACTTGATATTATATACAATAAGTATATATTTTTAATAGTGTAAACAAAGTTTTACCCGTAAGGAGGGACTAAATGTTCATATGAGGCGACATACTGGTGAGAAGCCCTTTTCGTGCAAGCAAGTAAATTTATCAATTATTTTTCTCTGTAAATAACTATAAATATAAATTTCTTATAGTGTAATCAAAGTTTCTCTCTTAAGAGCTCACTTAAGCGCCACATAACGATACATACTGGAGAAAAACTCTACGCATGCACTGAAGTATATTTTGAAAATATTTTTATTTGATATCAAATATTAAACGTATGTATATATTTTTCATAGTGTGATCAAAGTTTTTCTATTAAAAATTCACTAAAACTTCACATGAGACGACATACTGGTGAAAAACCATACAAATGCACTGAAGTATAAAATTTGATTACTTTTGTTTAAAATTAATTACAATAGATATATAATTTTACAAGTGTACAGAAAGTTTTCCTCGTAAAGATGCACTCGATATTCATATGAGGCGACATACTGGTGAAAAACTCTACACATGTATTGAAGTATATTCTCTTAGTTTAATTATATTTTTTTTTTCGAGACAACATGTAATAACTATATATTTTCAATAGTGTAAACAAAGTTTCACTCGTAAGGGGGGACTGGATGTGCATATGAGACGACATACTGGAGAAAAACCTTACTCATGCAAGGAAGTAAATATTTGAATTATTTTTATTCAGAAATAAATACAAGTATTTATTTGTTATAGTGTGGTCAAAATTTTTCTATAAAGAGCTCGCTTAAACGTCATATGGCAAAACATACTGGTGAGAAACTCTACTCATGCACTGAAGTATGTTTTGCAATTATTTTCTTTTGAGATTAAATATAAAACGTATATATTTTTCATAGTGTGATCAAAGTTTCACTATTAAGAACTCACTTAATGTCCACATGAGGCGTCATACTGGTGAAAAGCCATACAAATGCACTGAGGTATACAATTCCTTTATTTTTATTTAAAATTAAATACAAAAAATATATATAACTTTATTAGTGTAAAGAATGTTTTCTTCGTAAAGAAGGACTCGATATTCATATGAGGGAACATACCGGGGAAAAACCCTACACATGCACTGAAGTATAAACTTGTGTTTTAAATATTTTTATTTGCGATGACAATATATTTTTAATAGTGTAAACAAAGTTTCACTCGTAAGGAGGGACTTGATGTTCATGTGAGGCGACATACTGGTGAGAAACCGCATTCATGCACTGAAGTAAATTTTGCTATTATTTTTCTTGAATATATAACTTTGAATATATAAGCACATATATTTTTTATAGTGTGGTAAAAGTTTTGTTAGTAAAGAAGAACTCAAGATACATATGAGGCGACATACTGGTGAGAAACCTTACTCATGTACGAAAGTCAGTTTTTCAATTACCTTTATTTAGTATTGTATAAAAATTAGATTTATGTTTTTTAGTGTAATAAAAAATTTGTTGCTAAGATAGGACTCAATCTTCATATGAAACGACATATTGGTGAAAAGTCACACGTTTGCCTTGAATGTGGAAAACGTTTTATGCTCGCCTTTGAGCTACGTTATCATAGTAAAATTCATGTATTTCTGTTCACATGTGCTCAATGTGGAAAAAAATTCAAAACTAATAAGAAGTAAATAATACTTTTTTTATAGAATAAATTTAATAATAGTTATAATTTCTAGACTTAAACAGCATATCGGAATTCATGCATGTGAAGACACACAAAAAAAGATGGCCCAGAAGTATAAATTCAAGTGCAAGGAGTGCACTGCCATGTATGCGACAGAGGAAGAACTTAAAAATCATTTTGATGTTGGTTTTCATATAGGTAAGATATAGGTCATATATTCTTAATAAATATAATATAATATTTTAGTATATTGAGAAGTGAATGAAAGAAATCAGTAATTGTTCATTTAAAAATGAGATTGCTACTTTGACTTTATATACATATAACACAATAGTTAATTTTTTGTGTGGGTTGCTTGCAAGAGTATATGATCGTAATGCTGTTATTAGATTACACATTTCAAAAAAAAAGTCCTAAAAATTTTAAAAAGTTTTTGTAATTTGTAAAAATCTGTATTTCGCATGAAAACTCAAAAAAAAATTTCTATTGATTAGAATCTTAAATTGAATATTAAATAATTTTTAACTATAAATAAAACTGTTTTAAAATCAAATACGTTCATTCATATAGTATATAAGACTAATGTTGCATAATTTGTAAGGACATTTGTACCTCAAAACATATTTCTTATTATTATCATTATGGAATAATTTAGTATATAATTTTTAAATAACTCTATGAAAAATTTAAAGAAAATTTATTATTATAGTGAATAATGCACATTTTAATATTAATTTCAGATGAATATCCCAGCAGCAGCCTTAGAGAAGCAATTACGGAGAAAATATTGTCAGAAAATGAAGTGCCTAATTCAATAGAAAATAAAAGTATAAAGATGGAGTCGAATATTACAGGTGATCAAACATCAATTGAAGATGAAGTTGTTGTTGAGCAATTTATAAAAAATGAAGTACCTGAAATAAGTACAGAGGAATTGTTATTAGAAAACGAAGTATATACTATTACAATGTTAGAAAATGAGAGTATAAGAATGAGGCCTGACCAAATTCCGTTTAAAGATTGCGTTACAAAACAACAACGTATAACAGAAGAAGCAATTGAAACAAGTACAAACCAATTATTATTAGAACATGAAGAAACCTCTAGACTTGAAAAAATTAATCTAAAAATCGAACCAAATTTTACTGTTCGTGAACCTAAACTTGATGATATTACAGATGAACAAGAATTTATAAAAAATGAAGTACAGTATGACCTCGATTAATGCAAGCCTCGAATATCGCAACTCCTCGGTTATTGAACCTCTTGAATTTTTCCTGTATTACCTTTGTTATTGCAACTTTGAAAATTGACAACCGTGAAGAATGCAACTTTTTCTAATTATTTTCCTCTTTTGTATTCTTATTATTTTATTTGTGGATTTATTTGCTCTCCTATACTCAACCATAAGAATTTGCGAACACATTCTCGGTGCATAAGAATATTATGAAATCATGAAATTATTTCAGATGTTATATCTCAACAAGAAATGGATGAGTGGGTCAACGAATTTTATATGAAAATTATATCTCTTGCTGAATAACTTAACATCGAATCAGACTCGGAAACTGAGGTCATGTAATTACACTTAAAATCAAAAATGGCGTGGCAATAAATGCACTTAACATATGCATACAATGGGCTGAGGAAAATTCCTTACCTCTTACAAAAGTTATTATACTTAAAGGTCTAAAACATAAGGTAGTTATAATGAATATTAATTGCAATAAAAAGCAAACTGAAATAACAAGATATTATCAGAAAGTATGATTGCAATTATGTTATTAATAAAAATAAGTAATCATATTATTTTCTAATAAACATTGTCCTAATGTCTCTTTACTTGATTTAAAAATTTTAGATGCACTTAATGAATTAAAATCGATTATTGCAAGAACCTCGATTATTGCAAACCCTCGAATTCTATTAGTTGTATTAATCGAAGTCATACTGTACTTGAAACAAGAAAAGAGCAATTGTCATTAGAAAACGAAATTTTTACTAATTTCATTACCGAAAATGAAAGTGTTAAAATAAATGCGGCAGCAGCTATTCATTAAGTTTATTTAAAATCTGAAATCTGAAACCGTATTATATGTTAAAATCCTTTACTGACTCTGTAACTGTAGCAACTGTGTCTACACATCAAATTTATATAGGTAAACTTATGAGTATTAAAAATGTAGAACCTGTAGATAGTATAAAATTATGAATGAGATCCAATATTCAAAAAACGCAAGTGGAAATATTTGGAAAATATTTGAATAACCAGAAGCAACTTAATATATGTTATCTACATGTGCTGTCTTATGTTTAATAATTAATCTTGATTTTTAACTTATTGTGATTTCTACTTCGGTTACTTTTTCTGTAAAGTAGAGAATAATTATTGCAAATTTCAACTTGTAAACAAATTGTTCTATAACTTGTTCGAGATGACTCGAACTAGTAATGGGAATTTCATTTATTTATTGATATAGGATAGATATGTTAAGATATACATAAGTCATAAAATAAAATTGTGAGTTTATAAATTTGATAAAAATAAATAGTAACTAAAAATAGTAACTATTTCTTTAGTTATATAATCAAAACAATTTTTTAATAAATATATATTACACCTAGAAGAAGTAAACTTCGTCCTAGAAGTAAGGAAAATGCTGTGTTTTTAAATTATTTTAGTTCGTTTGTAACTTAGTATTCTTATCGTATAATCAAAGTTTTTTCAATGGATTTTTCTATCGTTTTTTTTTGTTGTGAATAATGTATAACAGTACTAATATTTAAACTAAAATCTTTTTAAGTTAATTAATAGGATGTGTTAGCAATGAAGTGGCTTGAAATATTTTGGAGTATATTAGAAAACGTATTCTATACCAAACAAGTAGGTACATTTTTTTTGTGTAAGTATATAATAGTGTTCGTTTAATTACGATTACAGGTTCACTTTTCAGCAACAATACCTTAGTACCTGACTAAATGCTCCTACTTGTTGTTAGGTATTATGCAACTAGTTTCTGTTATGAATAGCACCAAATTTGTTTAGGATATCAAATAGTGCAGTCTCCCGTGTTGTTATATTGTATATAATGAAATTGACGAGACTCACAAGAAGTTTTATGTATTCTGCAAACTTTCAAGAGTCATGGTTTAATAGATTACATATATGTTAAAAGCAAATTCGAAGATAGTTTACTTTGTTCACTATAGTATTTTAAAAGAAAATGAAATTCTTACAGCTTACAGCTCATCATTACTTAAGAATGCACTTATCATTACTTATCATTAGCATGTTGAGAAAAAGAACCCAAGTATCGAGCATTAAAATATATATATACATATTTACATATATTTGTATTCATTATAAGCAATCTCAAATATTGTATATTTTATTTTCTAAGTTGTATGATTTCCTGTTATATTTTATATTGAAAATTTTAGTTTTATATATAATATGTATTATAAATGTTATTATTTCCGCTTTTAGTTTTATTTAATCTTTAATTTAGATTTTATACTCGTAATTTAATTATGTTGTATTATATTATATACTATTATATTATTTTGCATATTATGCACTTTAAACAATTTGAATGTAAAATCAACGATGAGGTAATCTTTAGAAAATAACTTTCGTGTAAATGTGAACTTATCGTGCGATATATATTGCAACTCTGGGGTAAAGAAACATTTTAAATGTTTGTTTTTTATTTACCTTTTTTGACACATTTAAGACAGTAACAAATATTAGGTAGATCGCGTTGTAAAAATATTAAGCTAATATATATTTCGTTACTTGTATTTAATATTATTGAATATGTAATAGAATATCTAATTAAGAAATTAAGTTATTACCAAAGTTTTCAATCAATTTCAACTTCCAAATTTGAGAAGCATCGTATTGCAAAATTTTTATTTAATCACGATACCATAAAATCAAAAAAGGACAAAGACTTATGGCTAATATTACTTAATGCATATCACTTAATGCAAAGTGCATTTTAAATAAAGTTGTCAAAGCAAATACAGAAAAATTATTATTATAAAAGAGTTTGCAATATTCTAAAATATAAAAGTATAATATGAAGCCTAAAGTTACTGTTCCTGAATGTCTGAATGGTTCCATCACAAATGATCGTACATCAATTGAAAATGATATCATTGCTCAACAATTTATTAAGAATGTAGTATCTAAAACAAGTACAGAAAACGAAGAGTACTCTGTTATAACATTAGAGAATTATACCATAAAAACGGAACCGGAAACTAATGTTTCTGAAACTCTAGTTAGTGGTATTGTAGATGATCGATCATGTCTCGGAATTGGCGATAAAGTAACTGAACCAACCACAAAGCCATTATTAAAAAATAATTCTGTTTCAAAGTAAGTTTTTAAATTTTATATAATATATAAAATATTATCTTAAATTATTTGTTTTGAAATTTCTGCAGAAAACATAAACGTACACATAAAAAAGACAGACATTTTAATTGTGATATTTGTGGGAATACGTTTTCTTCACTGAGTGCGTTGACAGTGCATCGCCGCTCTCACACTGGAGAAAAACCATACTCATGCACTAAAGTAATATATTGCTTTAATTTTTATTTTACGAGACTAAATAAAAATATATATATTTGTATAGTGTAATCAAACTTTTTCTAATAAGAGCGCACTTGACTATCATATGAAGTTACATACAGGTGAAAAGCCTTACACATGCCCTCAAGTATAGTTTTCAATTATTTTGATTTAATATATAACATAAGTAAATATTGGTTTTAGTGTGAAAAAAGTTTTGCTGTTAAAAAAGATCTTAATCGTCATATAAAAGGACATACTGGTGAAAAACCTTACACATGCACTGAAGTAAATATTGCAACTATTATTATATATAATTTCTATATGTAATGAGTATATATTTTTAACAGTGTAAACAATGTTTTGCTCGTAAGGAAACACTGAAACGACATATGAGACGACATACTGGTGAAAAACCATACACATGCACTGAAGTAAATATTTTTGTTGTTTGTAATAAAGTTTTGATCCCAAGCATAAATTTTTATAGTGTAGCAAAGGTTTTTCCGCTAAGAACTCGCTTAATCTTCACATGAGGCAACATACTGGTGAAAAGCCATACACATGCACTAAGGTATACAGTTCCATTAATTTTATTTAAAATTAAATACAATAAATATATATAATTTTATTAGTGTGAAGAATGTTTTCTTCGTAAAGATCGACTCAATATTCATATGAGGGAACATACCGGGGAAAAACCCTACACATGCACTGAAGTATAAACTTGTATTTTAAAAATTTTTATTTGAGATGACAATATATTTTTAATAGTGTAAACAAAGTTTCACTCGTAAGGAGAGACTTGAAATCCATGTGAGGCGACATACTGGTGAGAAACCGCATTCATGCACTGAAGTAAATTTTGCTATTATTTTTCTTGAATATATAACTTTGAATATATAAGCACATATATTTTTTATAGTGTGGTAAAAGTTTTGTTAGTAAAGAAGAACTCAAGATACATATGAGGCGACATACTGGTGAGAAACCTTACTCATGTACGAAAGTCAGTTTTTCAATTACCTTTATTTAGTATTGTATAAAAATTAGATTTATGTTTTTTAGTGTAATAAAAAATTTGTTGCTAAGATAGGACTTAATCTTCACATGAAACGACATATTGGTGAAAAGCCACACGTTTGCCTTGAATGTGGAAAACGTTTTATGCTCGCCTTTGAGCTACGTTATCACAGTAAAACTCATTTACGACTATTTGCTTGCGATGAATGTGACGAAAAATTCAAAACAAATAAAAAGTAACTCTATTTATATTAAAAAATTAAATTTATTAAAGGATTATTTTTACAGACTTTTAAAACATATCAGAATTCATTCATCTGTAAGAAAGCGGGAAAACAAAGCCCAGAAGCATAAATTCAAATTCATGGAATGCAATGTGGCAGAGGAAGAACTTAAAAATCATTACGACAGGGGAGATCATATAAGTGAGATCTTTGTAAAAATATAATATATAAGTATTTTGAGAAGCAATTATTAATTCTTTGTTTAAAAATTGCGTTGCTACTGTGACTTTTAATACGTATAACCTTACATGACAATTTATCTTTTGAATGGGTTGCTTACTACGGGGATCTATGTTTCAAAAGAAAACTATTTTATTTTGAAACTATATTTAGCTTGACACTACAACAAAGAATTTTCTTTTGTGTTTTTAGGCTTTAATGAACATAATATCTAAAAATTAAAACAGTCGTGTAATATCAAGACATTTTTTGATGTTTTCAAGGGTTTTCTTAAGGGTAGATTATAATAATAATATTATTTTCCAAATATTTTGTAAACTTAAACCTAAAAACACTAAAGAACATTAGGCTTTAAATGAAAGTGATTTATTTATTTATATATTTTTATATATTGTTTTTAAAATCAAGCATTAATCTTGTGAAATTTTGTATTTATATTATATTATATTATATATTATATTATATTATATTATATTATATTATATTATATTATATTATATTATATTATATTATATTATATTATATTATAT